TTAGATCAGGATTTGAATATACATCTTGTATACCAGATGTCCTCAACTTCTAGGCAGAGATTTCTCTCAGAACTTAGAATCCATCTTAAAGGGGATAGCAAGGGACAATCAATGGGAAAAAATATTCATCAAAAGGTATTAAACAGAAAGTCAAGTAATTATTAAAAAAAATAAAAAAGGCTTCTGTGAATGTTAACATGCAGAAATACTGGAGTGCAATGTTGATTATACTTCATCCTTCCCTGAGACTGAATCCTCTGTTTTTCAGTTTAGCCCTGCAGTGCAGTCAGTTTCTCTGTCTTTTCTAAAACACAGCTTTTAAAAATTTCCAAATTACTCATTATGTGTCATCAGAAAGCCCCAATATTTCAAGATGACATTGCACCTCTTCCTGTAAAACCACTTTGATTGCCAAATTCACCTCAATTTTCTTTCATGAACATTCGGAGTTATTAATAGAAATCACAAAAGATACATTTTCATCTAGAATCTACTTTACACCAAGGCAAATATATTAGAAATTGTATTGTTATTTCTGTAGATCTTTCTTTCTACTCTGAAACAAAAAAAAAGTTATATTCTGGGAAAGAATATTTAAAATATTATAGCCACACTCATGCTGTGAACTGCTTTGCACATACAATCATCAGGCCATTCTGTTTCTTATGCTCTCTCATCTGACACCATCATGTATTTTGTTATTAACTATGGGGGAAAATATTAGCCAACCCTATGTGAAGCTGCTGTGCAATTATCCTGATATGGTTAGATATTTTGTGAATAAAGCTGATAATTTTCTTTTTATTTTTTTGGTGGGGTATTTATAAACTTTCATATTTATGTAGATCTGCTCAGGCTTTGCTAATTAAAGTCTGACTTTATTGGCAGTCATAATTAGAGCTCTTCAAGATGAGCTCTGTTTCTTTATAATTTTTCAGACAGCAGATTGCCTAAAGGGTTGTAGTGCGGTGGCCCTAAGTCCACCTCTCCTTCCAAGTGTACAAAACGTTCTTCTTAGAAAAACCAACAAAATTAAATAAAAAATATAAGGACTTTGAGGCTAACTGAGGAAAAACTTTTAAGAGTAAATAAAGGTTAAGGAAAAGGAATTTTAAAGTTGAGTTTAGTTTTTAAACTGTTATTAAAACAGCAGAATTTTAAAGCTCTTTGGTTGAATTTTCCAAAACTTTCCACAAAAGCAGTTTATGTTGAGGGATGTCATGCAAAGTCTTACAGGAGTTTTTTAAGGGAAACTGATAACTGTGCTCATGTGCTTCTCTTCCGTTCCTTGTGATCAAAGAATACTCCTTGTGCGTTATTAGAATTCTGTCTTCACCAGTGGAAGGCACAGTGAACATCAGTCTCTGGTCTCTAAAGACACCTTAGAGCTGTGTTTAAGAGGGGATCCTTTCTCTTCAGGATGCATAGAAATCTTTGTTAGGCAGTCTACGTTTTCCTTTTCCACGGGTTCCCATTTTTTTCGTAGCACAATTGCAAATGCTCTTGAGGTTGCATTAAGCATGCTTAGACTGCCCCCAAGACACTCTGAAAGGGAGCTGGCTCTTCCTTCACCTCATGCATAGCCAGATTAGTCATTGAGGGAGGAATTTTAAAGAGGAACTAGTGAACAGTTAGAATTTTTTTTCTTTTATGGAATAATCTCATGCCAGGAATAGACATGTCAGTTTGGATAGTAAAGGTCATAGTCCAATGCCATGGAAAGTAAAACATTTTCATAGACAGATTCTTCTGCTCCAGCACTACAAAGTTCAATGTGAAAGCAATCTTTCTATCTTCTTGTCAGTATTAAAAGTCAATATTTAGTACAAATATTGTTTCAACCAACTTTTTGATTAATTTGTACATTCAAGCCTTAAACATTGTCAACTAAATGTAGGGAATACAAAATATGACCACATGTGAAAAAAGTCAGAGATGTTTGTTCATACTGCTAAAATAGGAGAAGCTTGGAAAAAATTAACCTGGGTTTGGAACTTGTTTCCATGCATTCAGTATTTTTTTTCTGTAAAGAGTCTACATTTAAAAGGGAATCCACATTTTTAAAAAAGATGTGCATCCATAACTTTAGGTCTGTGAAGGTCGCTGAGCTACTTTGATTTATAGATTTTGTGAAATAAATCTTAAATCTCTTGCTTTTCAAGTTTTCTGTGAGTGGCTGAGCTGTGGCTGCTGATGGTTCTATCCACAGGGTGAGAGATTTAGATGACTAGCTGTGGCTTGTGTGATGGAAGCCAGTTCAGTATTTATAGTTTATGTTTTGAAATTTTTGAATAAAATAACATGGGCCTGCTTTTTAATCCAAACATTTCAGTCTATGTCTTCCTTTAGTTTATTGGCATGCCAACAATTCATTCAATACAAAGAGGTTTTGTGCTGTGACTGGACTGTGAGATTGCCATATTTCTGAATGGTGTCAATGTGGTATGCACTTATATACCCAAAATAGCATATTTTTTCTGCTGCAAATAGATACCAAGAAAATTCGAAAGTTCAAGTAAGTAAAATAATAAGACAATGAATCCAGATGATTAAATAATTTACGTTTCCCTTGTTCTATATTTTTCTCAATATTTTTATATCATTCCTATCATTCCTCAAAATTTGAAGAATGATAGTTATGGAAATGTGTGAAATAAGGTACATATTTAATATTTATTAATTTTTCAAAAAGGAGTTGAAGAATGGCTGCCAGAAATAAGATTGTTTTCTGTGTAACTTATCGTGGTTGTAAAATTAGGAACTGTCATAAGAACCCCCACATCACCTGACTGAGAGCAAGACACATAAATCCAAGATCTCTAGTGCTATGAAAATGTCAGCGAACTGAATGGCATGAAAGTACTACAAGATATTTGTCTACCTATAAACTAGCCACAAGTGTGCAGTCATCAATGGAGGATTTAACTGAAAAAATTTAAAGCTAAGATCTGACCTTCTCTTGTTTTCTAGTTAATTCAGTCACCTTAAAGTGGTTTCTTTTGAGGTATGGAATTGAGGGTCCCCATTGTGAAGGACCTGGAAGTGTCATTTAAGGTTCAAGATACTGTTTTAAAGAGGGCTGCACTGACTTCAGGCACTTCATTCAAATTATGATACTTAAATGCTAAAAACCCTGCAGTTGACATCACAGAATTGGATTGAATATGTAATGGATACACTTTAAAATGGTAGAGGATGGTAATGTAAGGATATGGGCAGAAAATAGCAAATTAATTGAAAGGTAAATTCCAAATGGTGGTGTGTTCGGCCAACATGTGGAAAACACGACACAGTGTAGCTGAAAGAATGAAAGGACTTAAGGGATTTCAGGGAGGGGTTGCAGGTTTAAAGGTTGCGGGATTTTTTGGTCTTTACAGTGCTCTTATGGAGACTACTATGAAACAATGTCTGACAAGACAAAACTGAATTTGCTTTTTTGTTTCTGATAGATTATAAATGAAGTAACTGTACAAAGCACCATGCTGACAGCAATCATGTTCAGAATACTGAAAATCTTTACAGTGCCATATATTTTGTTTAGTCCTGCAACTTAAGATAAAGTTTTTCTAAGAAATACAGACTTGAAGAATTTTTTTTTCAAGGTGTTAGGGTCTATGTCCTTGAATACCAGTTCTACAGCAGTCTCCATTTGTAATAATGAGCTATTGCCTGAATCTATTAGCTACGAAGCCACCTGTTTGCTCAGTATAAATAGCTTAGGATTTCCTGCAAGGAAATTACATGAAACATCAATAAGAAATGATATTACATTTTCAGGTCAATATGACTATCATTACTTGGCATTTATCTTTTCCTACTGATATCACATTTGGCAGCCAGTATCATAGACAACTAAGATTTTGTTGCTTCGTGTTTTGTTTCCGTTGATGTTAAATTGGCCTGTTCAGTAATGGCAGTCATTCATTCTGCTTGTTTTAGTGGATCCTTGATATTTCATTTTTCTTATCATACACTATAAAGACAGCAATACGTAAGGATGGACTAGTGCCGTGATGGTTTCAGAGACATTAGTCTCTCACCAGGGTCTTGGGATGTAAATGCTTTTGTACACACCTTAGAAGGGTGCAGAATGAACTTTGCCTCTTCTCTCTGCTGTGGATATGCCTGATTTTGTCACTAAAACAGGAAAGGGAGCTTCCTGCAGCCCTGTGACATCTTTTCTGTGCTCTGCCTTTCTCTGATCATGTGGGAAAGGTAGCCTAAGCTTAAGAAGAAATCTCAGCTCACAGTAGATGGCTACATTTGGTTATATGCAGACTTAATTTCTGGCTTTATGTTCCTGGCATACAAAGTTTAATGGAATATTAGTTTTGTGATTTCTCAGCCTTTTTTGTAGTCACTGCTGCCTTTGAAGCATACCTACCTATTACTCACTTTGTGCTTTTAAACTATATAATTTAGAAGCTGATGTTACAGAACCTATTCTAGCAACTAACGTGGATATCCTGGATAGTAAAATACTTCTTTACAGTGAGGAGAACTTTAATTTGAATACTGGATGTATTTACAAATGTTGGCTTTTTAATGTTGTGTCTATTTCAGTTTAAAGTAATAACATGATAAACCTCTCAGATAAACTAGTAGAATAAGCTTCCTAATTCAGAAGTAATATTTAGTTCTTATCCCCACATTTCAAAACATCTACAATATGTGTAGCCTCTTTTTCAATAGTATTTTTTAAATTCTGAATGCTTTCATCAACGTATGCCTGCAGGGATTTGAGATGTATCTGAACAAACAGGTCATTTCCAGATCCATTGGACACTTAAATAGACTGGTTTTTAAAAATCTATTTTTTTATCCTACTAATTTGAGTCTTAAATTCCATATTAAATGACCAAAATTATAATATGTAGAAGGCAAAATTTAAATTAACACCGGTGTATTAAGATGCAAAACATTTAAGGGATTAATGTCAGTGATGAGGATGCATGAGAACTAAATGTGCAGACCTTGCAACATAACTGTTTTTTATTCAGTTATAGGTGCCCAGCGCAGGAGAAGTCCCAGTGCCCTTGCCATTGAAGTATTTGAATCACATTTGGGAAGTCATATTTTACAGGTAAAACAATGGCTTTTCCAAGAAAAATCAAAATATCTACCTAGTCATATATCTGCCAATAATTTGAATAGTATTGTTGTCAGCACTTATATTGATTTTTTTACTGCTCATATTTCTTCTATTTTGAAAGTCCATAATTTGGAGAATGTTAATGAGAGGCAAGGCAAGTGTTATTTTAGCTGAATCACATTTTGTTGTTTAGAATTGTGCAGTAGATGTTTGCTTGCAGAATGCCCTTATGTATTTGTGTGAGTGTGTGTACAAGCTAGTGTTTTGTGTTGGTGATTGTCTTATGTCATGTATCAATTCTGGGCTGGGGCTCTTTTCCCTACTTTGGTTTATGAGCACTGCTTCTCTCCATGATATCCCAGTTGTCACAATTATATATCACAAATTTGGAGCAATCTGCAGAGATTAGAAGATTAATAGAAGCATGCCTTTTAGGTGTCCTTAGCTGTAGGCTGAAAACTGGTCTGGTATTTGTCAAACAAGCTCGTCACATGGCACAAGTCATCATATTCCAGGAAGAATCAACTGAAAAACAATGACCTGATGGAAACATTTTTGTGCATGATTTATTTTGCCAGTGTTACTACAGCCTTTCTTAGACTGAAGTGATCAAATGTGGAGTACAAGCAGTTAAGAAGAAAATATGATGGGCTTTGCACTAAGGCAAACCCAGCCCTATGGAAATAAAACCCACACAGTCTTTTCTAAGTGTGGCACTGAATAACTGCTCTTATTTAGCAATGTACACAGCTTCTCAATGCAAACATATTGTCTGGTGTATTATCTTTTGAGAGGTACGAGAGAGGTAAATTAGGATATTATCATGAGAAATATTCCACTTAATTTGAAATGATTGAGAGTTATTTCTTTGCACTAACTCAGCTGTGGTATTCAAAAGCACTATATAATGTCAGAATTTTCACATCTTTATAACGTAACTAAATGCTGAAAAGCAACAAAGACAATTTTAGGAAAACATTAACTAGTAGAATTAATTTCTCTTCAGAACAAGAATCATGAATGAAATTATTTGCTTAGTTGTGCACTCTTGGCGAAGGTCTAGGTCAAGTTTTTGATTCTGTAAGCAAATACTTTTGTTGTAGTTATTGTATCAGAGATCTGCACCAGTATCTACAGTACTGTGTTTGCACATTAGGGAGGAACACTGCTATGTTGTCTCATACATGTAGAAAAAAAATAAGACCTAGCAGTTTTTTGATATTTTAGTTTATGTAATTTATCAGTGTGTCAAGTGTATAAACATATCATACATCATAAAGTTATCTTTTTTACAATATTATTTATAACTCATATATAAATAAAACCCCATTGAGACTAATTTATTTACACTCTTTACGTATTAAGTATCACTCTTATAGATGAAAATGGCAAAAACTAGAATGGCCGCTTTGAAAACTACTTGATATTTGAGATTTTCACTTACTGTGTATTAGAACAATTAGTGACTTTTAACCTTGTTTAAATGAGATTATGGGTTGTTGGATTTTTTTTGTTTTGTTTTGTTTTTGTTTGTTTTAAGTTTTTTAAAATGTATTTGTGATAAATTAAGGTGTTTTCAGAATATAATTTCATCATACTACTACTAAAAAAAACCCCTGTATTGCACTTGTACTCAAAACTGAGGATTTTAAATCAAAATTACCATCAGCCTTGTATTGAATATCTGTTGAGGTGTGGCTTTTTGAAAAAAATGATGCTTTTATCAAAGTACTCCCATGATTCCCTCAGTTGATAATATCACCCTGATATTTGCAAGATAGATGGTTGATGATGGATAAATAAATTAATAATGGTGACAGGTTTATTGGAACATGTTAAGATTTTGTCTTATTTCTGCATTGTATTCAACACTTGGGAGGACAACCTGGGTCGTGCATTCAAATGCACCAGTTCTAAACAGATCAGAATGAACTTCAGAGTACTGCCTTGTGCTCTAATAGGTAGAAATATAATAATCAGAAGACAAAATAGTTTGTAAAACAACAATTGGATAGATTATGTAGTGGAATACAATTCTAACATGTTCTCACCTAGTCTGCTACTCACTCAGATATTATTTTCAATGCTCATAAATTATTTTCAAATAAGTATCATGATAAGTATTGTTTGCAATTGAAGTAACAACCTTGATTATACCTTGGGAACTTTGGTTTCAGAATCTGTTGTCTTAAGAATTTGAATTAACAGTTTGTGTAATTCCTTTTGCTATTATTATTTTGAAGACTTGGTTAAGTGTAAGCTCAGAAATTAAGGAGCCTCTCTAATCTTTTTAATATTTTGATACTTCAAAATTTATTGATAGACAAATATGCATAATACAGTAGATTTTTAAAAAGTGGATATGGTTTATTTAAAATGACATTACAAAACCAGAAATGGAGGTGCATCTTGTGATATTTTTACATTTTAAGTCTACAAGTAGGTAGTGTCAGTCATTTCTAGGTATACATTATATACATTAGTCACGTCCACACATATTAAATCCATGTATTTACATATAAGACTTAGTCATCATTGAATGAAGAATGTCTTCATCCATGTGGTTTTTTTCTATTTTTAAGGAATCAAATGTTTAAATACTGCTTAATTGATGATTGATACAGGTACTAAAGGTTTTCTCCTTATTTATTCTCTTTCTATTTTCTGCAGTTAAGTGCAGAAAATAGAAGAGTATAACTCTACCTGTCATGAGAAAAATAAAAGTTAAAAAGTTATTGATATTAGTCTGATATAGCATTTGTGCCCAGGGATCATACAGTTAATTCTGTTCTGTTAATTACAGACTTCATCAACTGCAAAAAAATTAATGCACTATTACCTTTATATAAATTCTGAGATGAAAAATTGAATAAAAACCCCAATAAAAGGAAATCTAATATTTTTAAAGGGCTTCATTTGAGTAAGGCTGGATGCGTCTTTGCATTTGTCCTTTGTACAAATCTAGATTGGAAAGAGGCTTTTACTTTGCTTACGTGTGAAATCAGACGCTCGTGCACTTCATGTATTTCATTTCGTGTATGAAATCCTCATGGTGAGAGTGGTGAGGCTCTGGCACAGGCTGCCCAGAGAATCTTTGGCTGCCCCATCCCTGGCAGTGCTCAAGGCCAGCTTGGATGGGGCTCTGAGTAGCCTGGGATAGTGGGAGGTTTCCTGTCTGTGACAGGGAGGTTGGAACTAGGTGATCTTAAAGGACCCTTTTAACCCAAATCAGTCTAAAATGGTACTCTTCCATGTCAAAAACTACCCAAGCCACAGCTGATTGCTGTATATCATGCTGAAGAGATTCCCAGTGGTAGGTTTGAAGCCAAAGGCACCATCCACTCAGTGCTCGTGAAAAAAAAGACACCCCAAGAGATGACTGCTCAAACACTATTACATCAGAATCTTTATGTCAGTGTAATGTCCTTTAAATGTTTTCCAAGTAAAATCACCTGAATTATGAATAGTAGAGTGGGATGTAATGGAGGAGAAAAGTAGATAATGGCAATATGTTAATTAATTTTTGACAAGATTTTTGATTTGCCAAATTATAGGCTTTCTTTTTCTTGTCTTGTACATTCTTTTTCTTCTGAAAAGTGGTGTTATAATGAAAATAGATGTCGTCTGTTTTATATTTCTGTATATTTATCTATCAATTGTATCCAGTAAAAAAATTATTTCTGGTACCTATTATTAACAATTTGGCTTAAATTGGTTGCAAAAATTAGCAAGATTTTAATCAATTTTTCGGGATCTCTGGATTTTTTTTCTATAACTTCATTGCTATTGAGAAGGTGTGAAAAAGGGTCACTAACCCCATAGTCTTCTTATAATCAGGAATGATCAGGAAATGTAGAACTAAATATAGAGAAAAGGGAAAGTTAGTGAATATATTTGCATATGCAAATTAGCTTAATTGATACTGCTTGCCTCTACAGGGATTTTTCATTACAAACTGGAGTGCTACATTGTTCAGCTCATATTGAGTAATTTAGTAACTAATGAGACCAGTTTGCACTAATTTGCATATGATAAATGAGCTTAATTGCAGTAAATAACTTGGAGGCATAATTACTTAATTTTCCTGTGTTGCATGGCTTTTAAGTTCACGTATGAACAACTCAAGATAATTTTGCATATTTAAATTAGTTGCTTTTAAAATTCTTGAACAAAAAAGAACACACCTTACAATTTGAGCTGTAAAACAATTGAAAGTATAATGTACATTATTTTCAAAGAAAATTTAATATTTTGAAAATATATGTTTCTTTCTTTAAAAACATCAGTGCCTTTTTAAAAACTAAATATTTGGAATTAATCACAAAGGAGTAGTTTTAAAGTCAGGCCAGGATGGAAAGATGGTATAAGTAATAATAATAGGAGTGTGTATCTGAACTGTAGTGAGCTGTACACATTTTGTATTTCTGCATACAAGAGTGGTAACATTCATAATTGCATTCTTTGCTTCAGTAGTGCCTAATCAACTGTTAAGAAACTAACACTTTCATATAGCATTGTGTGCATATTACGTACACAGTAACTTGGACGCTAGTTGTCTTAGATTGTCTATACTGAGCTACCTCATTTTGTGTGAAGAAATCCTTATATTGGACAGATACCAAAGTGTCAGTGCAACAAAAAGTGTATCCTTTTTTTCATTTTGTGGACATGTTCAATTGTGAGCACTGACAACTCTTATGATGTAGATTTGTACAATGAGTTTCAAAATGCACAAACAAAAACAAAGAAACAAACAAAACATAATCCAAAATCAAATTAATTGGAAGACCAAAGACCATTTGGAATACCATTTCCAAAATGTTATTGCACATTAGATAATTTTGATACATTTGATAGAATTGAACTACTGAACTAGACAGAGAAAAAAGCCAACCACCAACCTCATTTATTCCCATAGCAAGATCTGTTGTGCACCCATGTTTTTCAAGTGGATGACAATTACTGAATTCTCCTCTGCTCCATAAAGGTCA